GACCAGGAAACAAAAACTTTCAAAAAGGCGGAAAGAACCAAGACGAGGAGAAGGGGCGCCGCTTACTTTTGTTTCGGTCCGCTGTTCTGTCATGATGCACACACACGAGGAACGAGGAGACGCTGGAGAATACTTTACCAAGTCTTTATTTTCAGGAACCAAGGGAGACGAACTCAGGAAGACGTTTAACAGCGGACAGAGAACTTGGGACTGGGAACACTATTTATACACACAGGAGGAGGGGATGACGAGACACACCTGGGAGCAATGAAACACTAATCAGGGGAGGAACAGGAAACTAACCAAATAAGGTCATGGGAAGGCACATGGGGAGCAGGACACACACAAAACATGGAACAGAGTCTGACAGCATGACTATTATTAACATATTGTCTGTTTATTAGTACGTATAAAGCACATATTCTTCATGACCCTATTCTACATCCCTAATCTTATCCAATACCTAAACTTAATAACTACCTTACTAACTATTAATAAGCAGAAAAGTCGGTAAATTTAGGTAAAAAAAACACCTAAACACATAAAGTGTGACCGAAAACATATTCCATTCTTTGTTATTAACATCATGAAGTGCATTAAACAGTATGTCAAAGTTTCCCAAACTGGGGTTTGTAAAGGAACTCCAGGGGGTTTGTGAGTTTAATGAAAAGCGAATAATCGATTAAATCATGAAAATGTAAAATTAAAATAAGCCATTTTAAACTAGCATCGATCAAAATAAAACATTTACTAAAAAGATTTAATTTGTTTACCTGCATGTGCATGTGACCATTAACCAAAATTTGAAAACGCAAAGACTTTCTGAATATACATAAGTGGTAGCTATTTTAGAAAGGAAAATTTAAAAGATGAAAAAATAAGAATCAATTCTGAATAATGTATTGCTATTGTGTAAATATGTAGTCATGTAATCAGTTGTGGTCTGATTACGAGTATGTTAAAATGTAATATAATCTAATTACAAGCACTTATTTTTTGGAATCTGATTACTAAATCCAGATTACATGTAATCAGTTACTACCCAGCTCTGACAATAACTTAGTGTCACCATATAAGAACTTCATCCAATCATTTAAAATCTGTGGTCTTTTACTTTTTCATGGCATTGAAAAGTAGAGAAGTAATGAAGTAATTCATTTTTAGATTAAATATTCTGTTACAAAATAAAGTACTAATGTCATGAGGCTTCAGAAGATAAAGTTTTAGATCTTTTTTCTTCATTTTTCTTCAGACACAACCAGAGGCCCTTAGAGGTGATGAGGGATGAAGTTCATAAGAACAGATGCCATGTGAAGTTTCCAGAACTTTTCTCCAGCTTTCCTTACCGGGTCAACGTCACGGCAGTGAACTCGCTGGGTCGTGCTTCCAGCGCCATCAGCTTCGAGGAGTCTTCAATAGGTACAGTGTTTTTGGATGCGATTAATCACAATTAATCGTTTGACAGCACTAATAAATATATTGAAATGCATGACACTTATTTTTCTTACCTCTTTTTTCCCCTTGGTTTAAGCAGAAATCTAACCAAATTTAGAGAGGTTTATGCTTAAAACAAGGTCAAAAATATTGTCCAATGAGGTATAAAAATAGTTTGCTTTTAAAGTGAGCAATTTATCTTGTCTACAGGATGTTTAGATATTTCTTTGAGAAACAAAGGCAAAATACTGATTAGAAATTTTTTACATTTTTTTTTTTTTTTTTTGAAGTCCAGCCCTTCCTCTCAGCATGCCCAGACATAAAAATTATCATCCGAATAGCCGACATTTAAACAACATCAACAGTGTTTGAAAGTCGTAAAGAGTGTTTCGCTCAAGCCAGGTCAAGGCCTGAGCTATAAATCCACACCAAGTAATTTTGAAATTTTGAAGTAGCAAAACTGAGTAGTATTTTCTTGTAAAACATACTGCAATAATCGTTATATATGGTTTCATTGCAGACACAGAAAATATCATTTACAAGTAATTTTGATGTGAACACATTGAATTGCTTGGAAAAAAAAAGCCTCATTCCCAGAGTCATTCTGAAAGTCCTATTCATTATTAACCTTGTATGATATACTGGGGTTGAGCAAATAGACCTTGCAAAAACATCTAGCTCATATTTGCCAGACACTCTTGTAACTTATAATCATCTCCTTTTTTTGAAAGAACAAAACGCATGCTTGCAAACAGAAGTGAAGAAAATATCTCCAATATATCGTCTGGTTGATGGTGGTGGGTGTTGCTGAAGTGGCTTCTGGCAACTAAATAGAATGCTTACATGCATGGCTACATGTGTGCTTGATAGTAATAAAAATGCTAATGCAGTCTGGATCACTGGATTGACAACGAAAATACGTTCCCTCTGGTTCTAGTGTATATTTTATAGAAAATGGATTCCTTTTAAAATGCATTTCGTATGTAACAGCTATTTGATTTCATTTGAAAAAAAGCAACTTATGATTAGCATATATTTTAGTGACAAGTAGGGAACATATCGATGAAAGTACATCAAAGAAGTAAATTGCCTTATAATGGAACTAAAGCATGCAGACTATTACATTTTGACCACAACTTCAAGATACATGGGAACTAAATATAATAAATTAAAATAATATCTTTTTTTTCAGCTACACTGCAAAAATTATTTTCTTTAACAGATTTTTTTTATTATTATTATTATTATTATTATTAAATGCACAATGACTCCATACTCCTGATTATCCTGAAGCCACTATGTGTCTGCTATGAATAGTAAAGGGAACGGGGCTCAGAAACATCTCTTTGTCCTCGTGTGTATGTGTTTGTGTGCGAGTGAAGCTAAAACCGCAGAGCAAACAGAATGATTCTTGGACACCGCAGCTCGAGAAGTAGAGAAAGGCCACTCTGTTGCTCTCTGCTTATTTCCCATAAACCTTAGCTCCAAAAGGCTTTCCTAATATTCAGGAGACGCCGCTGCTCAAAAGACATCTCGAGAAATGTCACAGTGTGGCTTCTTTAGGAGACGTGTGTGTTATGTCAAACTGATTTTCTGCTCAGAGGGACGAGCTGCGGATCATAAAGAGGAGATCTCAGCACTATTCATCATTCATCTCTTTTTCCATTATAGTATTTCGCTAGTGGCATTTGTCATGAGTGATTCTTACTACGTAGCCACTAAAACTGTGTTCTTTTTGTACTGAGCCTTGTCACAACTCGTATACCATTAGCATCTCAACTATAGAGGTATGTTCACACTTCCTAGCTATGCTAAAGCAATAGTTTACGCAAAAATATCTCATGACTATTATGACATTACTAAAACTGTATGGCTTACTGAGAAAAACTAAATGAGAAATTTAGAAGAATGTTCAAGCTGCTCTATTCCATGTAGTGAAAGTAAGTTTCAAATGAAAGCAAGCTTCAAGCTTTAAAAAGACAAAGTACCTTAAAGATGACCCAAAAGTCTTTCCAATCCCAAAAACCTTTGTTTTTCCATGCACTTGTCAAATCCTAACTTTTCAGATTTTGGACTATTTTCTGCAATAACATGTCTTCTTACAGATTAGTTGAAACAAAACATCCAAAATACACATTTAAGTGTGCATTTTATGATACTTTATCTATTTGCATCTGTAGATTTCAATTTCAATACATATTTTCTTAATTTTTTCTTAACATTTCTTAAAATTAGCAAGAAATCTCTACTTCCATAGCACTTACATTCACAACAATTTACAGTTTTAGTTTCACTCATATCTATTTTATATTTGTCTAATTTAAGTAAGATTTTATAAAATAATTTACATAGTATATATATATATATATATACAGTGGTGTAGTGGTGCCTGCAGAAGTGGGTATACTCTTAATTTATGCCCCCATTTTTTTAAGCGGCCCAGCAAAGGATGAACGGCCTGTGTTATAAACAGTGACATATAAGAGTCAATACTAGTCTTGCATATTTAGTTCACCCCAAAAGCAGTGACATGTAAGAGTCAAGACTAGTCTTGCATATTTATTTCTCCCCAAAATGGGCCAATAGTATTTGCACATTTTCACTTTCTGTAACTTCTGCTACTTGACTTACTGGAGTAAAGATCATTATGAAATTAATATTAGCCACAAAAGAGGTGCAGATTTTGCAATAAATAATTAAAATGTAAAAAAAATTGCATAGACTGCAACAATTAACATTTTGCAGAACCTCTAGTAGTCAAGCTATTTTGTTTAGTTATCTGTAGGAGAATCATGATCTCTATTTGATACAAAAAAAAAATTGTGATCAATTTATCCAGAATTGTGCAGCTCTACTTTTCTCCCATGGCATACAGTGACGGGCAAATAGTAACCCCCTGCCTACTCCCCCCATATCTTTTACAATTAATGCATAGGCTATACTATATAGTGCAAAAAAATAAAATAAAAAATAAATTATAATAAAATTGTTTAGAGCATTTTTAATACAATTGAGCACTAGTCAAGCTGCGATATCAAACAGGACCACAAGGAGACGCCAAAAGATCACTAAACCTACTGCCTTGACCTGACTGTACAGCCTACTATACGGATCCATTCAGAATCTAAAAAAACACTACGTAGCCACTAAAACTGTGTTCTTTTTGTACTGAGCCTTGTCACAACTCGTATACCATTAGCATCTCAACTATAGAGGTATGTTCACACTTCCTAGCTATGCTAAAGCAATAGTTTACGCAAAAATATCTCATGACTATTATGACATTACTAAAACTGTATGGCTTACTGAGAAAAACTAAATGAGAAATTTAGAAGAATGTTCAAGCTGCTCTATTCCATGTAGTGAAAGTAAGTTTCAAATGAAAGCAAGCTTCAAGCTTTAAAAAGACAAAGTACCTTAAAGATGACCCAAAAGTCTTTCCAATCCCAAAAACCTTTGTTTTTCCATGCACTTGTCAAATCCTAACTTTTCAGATTTTGGACTATTTTCTGCAATAACATGTCTTCTTACAGATTAGTTGAAACAAAACATCCAAAATACACATTTAAGTGTGCATTTTATGATACTTTATCTATTTGCATCTGTAGATTTCAATTTCAATACATATTTTCTTAATTTTTTCTTAACATTTCTTAAAATTAGCAAGAAATCTCTACTTCCATAGCACTTACATTCACAACAATTTACAGTTTTAGTTTCACTCATATCTATTTTATATTTGTCTAATTTAAGTAAGATTTTATAAAATAATTTACATAGTATATATATATATATATATACAGTGGTGTAGTGGTGCCTGCAGAAGTGGGTATACTCTTAATTTATGCCCCCATTTTTTTAAGCGGCCCAGCAAAGGATGAACGGCCTGTGTTATAAGCAGTGACATGTAAGAGTCAAGACTAGTCTTGCATATTTATTTCTCCCCAAAATGGGCCAATAGTATTTGCACATTTTCACTTTCTGTAACTTCTGCTACTTGACTTACTGGAGTAAGGATCATGAAATTAATATTAGCAACAAAAGAGGTGCAGATTTTGCAATAAATAATTAAAATGTAAAAAAAATTGCATAGACTGCAACAATTAACATTTTGCAGAACCTCTAGTAGTCAAGCTATTTTGTTTAGTTATCTGTAGGAGAATCATGATCTCTATTTGATACAAAAAAAAAATTGTGATCAATTTATCCAGAATTGTGCAGCTCTACTTTTCTCCCATGGCATACAGTGACGGGCAAATAGTAACCCCCTGCCTACTCCCCCCATATCTTTTACAATTAATGCATAGGCTATACTATATAGTGCAAAAAAATAAAATAAAAAATAAATTATAATAAAATTGTTTAGAGCATTTTTAAGCACTAGTCAAGCTGCGATATCAAACAGGACCACAAGGAGACGCCAAAAGATCACTAAACCTACTGCCTTGACCTGACTGTACAGCCTACTATACGGATCCATTCAGAATCTAAAAAAACAGCTTCAGGCTTCAGCAGCGTCCATTATAAAACACTCTGCTTTTAAGCCTAATACACGCTGAAAAGAATAATTCTGGACGTAACTCTAAGCAATCTCTAATGAAACGGTCGGGTTTTCTCTGTAGCTGTTTTGAACTTAGGCTACTGTTTGAAGGCATTCGTTTACTGGATCCTTGGACTGAAAAGTTTACAGAAGTTTACCGTTTTAAAAAATCTGATCGCAAAAGCATGCTTCTTTTCCTTTTTAAGGTATTGTTTTCATTATAATGTACATATTCAAATTAGTAGTCAATAATTAAATATTATTTTATCACTCTTCTCGAGATGAGAGGCGAGAGCGGGTGCAATCATCAATCAAATTTAAAGGGAAGCCGGCGCATCCTGAGCGCATCTATTGTCTTTACTGGGTGTGTTTAGGGAATATTGGCATTTATTTACATGTGATTTGATTAGCTAGTCATGGTGGACTGTCATGATTTTGGCTAATA